ATTGAAAATTAAAAGTAATTACTAAGTCATTACCAAGTACTAAGTCATGTTTTGCAGAGGGGTCAAATACATATTTCCCTCATTAAAATGCAAATCATTTTATAACATTTTTGACATGCGTTTTTCTGGATTTTTAACATTTTTTATTCTGTCTCTCACTGTTCAAATAAACCTACCATTAAAATTATAGACTGATCATTTCTTTGTCAGTGGGCAAACGTACAAAATCAGCAGGGGATCAAATACTTTTTTCCCCTCACTGTATGTATATGTGTGTGTGTGTGTGTGTGTGTGTGTGTGTGTGTGTGTGTGTGTGTGTGTGTGTGTGTGTGTGTGCGTGTGTGTGTGTGCGTGTGTGTGTGTGTATGAACTTAACAGCTGTGTGATCCAGTATTATCTTCTTACCTGTTGTTGTGCTGGGTGTGAGTGGGGGTGAGGTTGTGTTCATGGTGGAGGAAGTGTGTGGGGAGTCAGAGGTGCTTGTGTTTATGTTTTCTGTAAATTGTCAACAATGTCAGTAGGTTGTGAATTACAGCAAATCTGCTAATAGTACAATCTCCATGATACACAATAACAGGATTAGTTAGTATGATGCTCTTAAACAAAGTTACACATCATTCAGTGTTTAAAAAAATATCAAAATTTTAATCAGTTTTTAGTCTTTTATCCAAATTGGGATATTTTATTAAATATGAACATTTCTGACTGGTTGGACCTGTTGGGACATACTGTATTCAGGGCAGACTGTAATGTCTGTGTTGAGGAAAAACATCTAGTAAAAACTATCAAAACCGGGGGAAGAAACCAGAGTACCCAGAGGAAACCCACGTAGCACGGGGAGAAGACGCAAACACAGGGCCACGGTGGGAATCAAACCCCCGATCTTGGAGCTGTGAGGTGACCGTGCTAACCACTAACCACTAAGCCACCGTGCACCAATTGTATGTCTTTTAACATATTTTTTTTTCTTTTTTCTCAATGATTATACAGCTACATTATATAATCATTATATATAACTATAGGCTATGTGTGTGTGTGTGTGTGTGTGTGTGTGTGTGTGTGTGTGTGTGTGTGTGTGTTTGTGTGTGTGTGTGTGTGTGTGTGTGTGTATGTGTGTATATATGAAATACACAGCTGTGTGATCCAGCATTGTCTTCTTACCTGTTGTTGTGCTGGTTGTGAGTGGGGGTGAGGTTGTGTTCATGGTGGAGGAAGTGCGTGCGGAGTCAGAGGTGTCTGCGCTTGAGTTTACTGCAAATTATCAACAATGTCAGTAGGTTGTGAATTACAGCAAAGCTGCTAATAGTACAATCTCCATGATACACAATAACAGGATTAGTTAGTATGATGCTCTTAAAACAAAGTTACACATCATTCAGTGTTTAAATGTTTTTTAATCCAGTCTTTTATCCAAATTGGGATATTTTATTAAATATGAACATTTCTGACTGGTTGGACCTGTTGGGACATACTGTATTCAGGGCAGACTGTAATGTCTGTGTGGAGGAAAAACATCTAGTAAAAACTATCAAAACCTTCAGTAAATGTATTCTTCACAAAAGTGATTATTACCGGCTGTAGTCATGGTTACGGTTGTATTTGGGTGTTGATGCTTGGTGGTGTTTGGGAGCAAGGTTGGTGTGTTATTGTCTGTTACTAGAACAAGTATAATACATGAGTATATCAACATGTATGTAATACAGCATGTAGCAAACGTATCTCTGTATCTATAGTCGAGTCATAACCACTGATCACATAACTTCATTTACCTCATTAAGCAAAATAAGAAGATTTTACCTGTTGGATTCAGAGTTGTGTTTGATTGGTGTTGATGCTTGGTGGTGATTGTGGGTAAGCCTGTCATGTAATTCTCTGTTATTAGAACAAGCAGAATACATGAGTATATAAACAAGACTGCATCTAGGGTGATGCTATAACAACTTCACAATATAAAAAGAAGAGATCATGACCTGCTCCAGCTGTGGTTATGTTTGAAAGGCTGGAGTTGAGTGTGGGTGTGTTTGTGTCTTTCTTGTCTGTCACCAGAAAAAAAAAACTTACTGTCTTTAAGATAAGTGGACTATAACTGGACAAACTGCTTTCACCTGATCCTAGAATCTTTTCTAAATGTATTATGAAACATTCTTTAAGTGTCACTTTGATGCCAAAGAGCTCCATTTTGGTCTCATCTGACCACCAGAGGAAAACTGGGTGAAAGTGTTGTGGTCAGATGAGACCAAAATGGAGATCTTTGGCATCAATTCAACGCGCCGTGTTTGGAGGAGGAGGAATGCTGCCTATGACACCAAGAACACCATCCCCACCATCAAACATGGAGGTGGAAACATTATGCTTTGTGGGTGTTTTCTGCTAAGGGGACAGGACAAATTCACCACATCAAAGAAACAATGGACGGGGCCATGTACCGTCAAATCTTGGGAGAGAACCTCCTTCCCTCAGCCAGGGCATTGAAAAGTAAAAGTAATTACTAAGTCATTACCAAGTACTAAGTCATGTTTTGCAGAGGGGTCAAATACATATTTCCCTCATTAAAATGCAAATCAATTTATAACATTTTTGACATGTGTTTTTCTGGATTTTCTTGTTGTTATTTTGTCTCTGACTGTTCAAATAAACCTACCATTAAGATTATAGACTGATCATTTCTTTGTTAGTGGGCAAACGTACAAAATCAGCTGCTAATAGTACGGGGAGAGGCAGAGGTGGACGCTGATGGGGGATCATCGCCAATTTCCGTGGTGGAGGTTCCTGAGGTGGTCAATCAGCTACACAGTGGCAAAGCCCCGGGGATTGATGAGATTCGTCCAGAAATGCTGAAAGCTCTGGGTGTGGAGGGGATGTCTTGGATGACACGCCTCTTTAACATTGCGTGGAAGTCGGGGACAGTGCCCAAGGAGTGGCAGACCGGGGTGGTGGTTCCCCTGTTTAAAAAAGGGGACCAGAGAGTGTGCGCCAATTATAGGGGTATCACACTTCTCAGCCTCCCTGGTAAAGTCTACTCCAAGGTACTGGAACGGAGGGTTCGGCCGATAATCGAACCTCGGATTGAGGAGGAACAATGCGGATTCCGTCCTGGTCGTGGAACAACGGACCAGCTCTTTACTCTTGTAAGGATCTTGGAGGGGGCCTGGGAGTATGCCCATCCAGTCTACATGTGTTTTGTGGATCTGGAGAAGGCGTATGACCGTGTCCCCAGGGGTCTACTGTGGGAGGTGCTGAGGGAGTATGGGGTGAAGGGTTCCCTTCTTAGGGCTATCCAATCACTGTACATCCAAAGCGAGAGTTGTGTCCGTATGCTCGGTAAGAAGTCAGACTTGTTCCAGGTGGGGTTGGTCTCCGCCAGGGGGTGCTTGTGTCACCAATCCTGTTTGTGATATTCATGGACAGGATATCGAGGCGCAGTCGTGGTGGGGGAGGGGTGCGGCGGTTTGGTGACCTCAGGATCTCATCACTGCTTTTGCGGATGATGTAGTCCTGATGACATCATCGGTCCGTGACCTCCAGCACTTGCTGGATCGGTTTGCAGCCGAGTACGAGCGGCTGGGATGAGGATTAGCACCTCCAAATCTGAGGCCATGGTTCTCAGCAGGAAACCGATGGAGTGCCTACTCCGGGTAAGGGAATGAGAACATAACCCAAGTGAAATAGTTCAAGTACCTCGGGGTCTTGTTCACGAGTGAGGGGACATTGGAGCGGGAGATTGGCCGGAGAATTGGAGCAGCGGGAGCGGTGTTGCAATCGCTTAATCGCACCATTGTGACGAAAAGAGAGTTGAGTCGGAAGGCAAAACTCTCCGATCTACCGGGCAATTTTCGTTCCTACACTCACCTATGGTCATGAAGGTTGGGTAGTGACCGAAAGAACAAGATTCGGGGTGCGAAGGCGCAAATGTGGGTTTTCTCAGGAGGGTGGCTGGCCTCTCTTAGAGAATAGGGTGAGAGGCTCGGCTATCCGAGAGGAACTCAGAGTAGAGCCGCTGCTCCTGCGTTGAAAGGAGCCAGTTGAGGTGGTTCGGGCACCTGGTAAGGATGCCCCCGGGGCGTCTCCCTAGGGAGGTGTTCCAGGCACGTCCAGCTGGGAGGAGACCTCGGGGAAGACCCAGGACTAGGTGGAGAGATTATATTTCCACACTGGCCTGGGAACGCCTCGGGATCCCCCAGTCAGAGCCGGTAAATGTGGCTCAGGAAAGGGAAGTTTGGGGTCTCTTGCTGGAGCTGCTACCCCCGCGACCCGATTACGGATAAGCGGTTGAAGATGGATGGATGGATGGATGATGATGACAAGATGATGTCAGAAAAATCCTACAAGAACAACTGTACTTGGGGGAAATCAGAGTCTCTTGACATTGTCACATACATTAAACGTGATTGGTTGATTCTGAAAACAGCCACATCCCCAATTATAAAAGGGTGTTCACACTTATACAACCAGGATATTGTATTTTATTATATTAATCAAAGCCGTTTTTAATCAATTTAATTTATCTTGGTTCATTTTTTACATCACAACAACCTGAAATTTTAACAGGGGTGCATAGACTTTATATGGACTGTACACTGTAAATAATACTGCACACACCAGACATGTATATGTACGTATAATCAACACCATAAGCACTTATCACTTAACTTCATTCCTGATATCCCAAACACTGATGATTCAGTGTTTTTAAAAAATTATCAGTCTTTTAATCAGTTTTTAGTCTTTTATCCAAATTGGGATATTTTATTAAATATAAACATTTCTGGCTGGTTGGACCTGTTGGGACATACTGTATTCAGGGCAGACTGTAATGTCTGTGTTGAGGAAAAAAAAAAAAAAAAAAAAAAAAAAAACTATCATAAAAAAAAAAAAACAAATAAAAAAAAAGGGGCACTTTGGACATGCCAATCAGTCTACCATGCATGTATTTGGACCAGGGGAAGAAACCAGAGTACCCAGAGGAAACCCACGTAGCACGGGGAGAACACGCAAACACAGGGCCATGGTGGGAATCGAACCCCCGATCTTGGAGCTGTGAGGTGACCGTGCTAACCACTAACCACTAAGCCACCGTGCACCAATTGTATGTCTTTTAACATATTTTTTTTTCTTTTTTCTCAGTGATTACACAGCTACATTATATAATCATTATATATAACTATAGGCTGTGTGTGTGTGCGTGTGTGTGTGTGTGTGTGTTTGTGTGTGTTTGTGTGTGTGTGTATATGAAATACCCAGCTGTGTGATCCAGCATTGTGTTGTTACCTGTTGTTGTGCTGGGTGTGAGTGGGGGTGAGGTTGTATTCATGGTGGAAGAAGTGCGTGCGGAGTCAGAGGTGTCTGCGCTTGAGTTTACTGCAAATTATCAACAATGTCAGTAGGTTGTGAATTACAGGAAAGCTGCTAATAGTACAATCTCCATGATACACAATAACAGGATTAGTTAGTATGATGCTCTTAAACAAAGTTACACATCATTCAGTGTTTAAATGTTTTTTAACCCAGTCTTTTATCCAAATTGGGATATTTTATTAAATATGAACATTTCTGAGTGGTTGGACCTGTTGGGACATACTGTATTCAGGGCAGACTGTAATGTCTGTGTGGAGGAAAAGCATCTACTAAAAACTATCAATACCTTCAGTGAATGTATTCTTCACAAAAGTGATTATTACCGGCTGTAGTCATGGTTACGGTTGTATTTGGGTGTTGATGCTTGGTGGTGTGTGGGAGCAAGGTTGGTGTGTTATTGTCTGTTACTAGAACAAGTATAATATATGAGTATATCAACATGTATGTAATACAGCATGTAGCAAACGTATCTCTGTATCTATAGTCGAGTCATAACCACTGATCACATAACTTCATTTACCTCATTAAGCAAAATAAGAAGATTTTACCTGTTTTATTCAGAGTTGTGTTTGATTGGTGTTGATGCTCGGTGGTGTTTGTGGGTAAGCCTGTCGTGTAATTCTCTGTTATAAGAACAAGCAGAATACATGAGTATATCAACACGTATGATGACTGCATCTAGGGTGATGCTAGAACAACTTCACATAGACCAATATAAAAAGAAGAGATCATGACCTGCTCCAGCTGTGGTTATGTTTGAAAGGCTGGAGTTGAGTGTGGGTGTGTTTGTGTCTTTCTTGTCTGTCACCAGAATAAAACAAACTTATTCTCTTTAAGATAAGTGGACTATAACTGGACAAACTGCTTTCACCTGATCCTAGAATCTTTTCTAAGTATATTATGAAACATTATTTAAGTGTCACTTTGATGCCAAAGAGCTCCATTTTGGTCTCATCTGACCACCAGAGGAAAACTGGGTGAAAGTGTGGTGGTCAGATGAGACCAAAATGGAGATCTTTGGCATCAACTCAACGCGCCGTGTTTGGAGGAGGAGGAATGCTGCCTATGACACCAAGAACACCATCCCCACCATCAAACATGGAGGTGGAAACATTATGCTTTGTGGGTGTTTTCTGCTAAGGGGACAGGACAAATTCACCACATCAAAGAAACAATGGACGGGGCCATGTACCATCAAATCTTGGGAGAGAACCTCCTTCCCTCAGCCAGGGCATTGAAAAGTAAAAGTAATTACTAAGTCATTACCAAGTACTAAGTCATGTTTTGCAGAGGGGTCAAATACATATTTCCTTCATTAAAATGCAAATCATTTTATAACATTTTTGACATGTGTTTTTCTGGATTTTCTTGTTGTTATTTTGTCTCTGACTGTTCAAATAAAAATACCATTAAGATTATAGACTGATCATTTCTTTGTTAGTGGGCAAACGTACAAAATCAGCTGCTAATAGTACGGGTAGAGGCAGAGGTGGACGCTGATGGGGGATCATCGCCAATTTCCGTGGTGGAGGTTCCTGAGGTGGTCAATCAGCTACACAGTGGCAAAGCCCCGGGGATTGATGAGATTCGTCCAGAAATGCTGAAAGCTCTGGGTGTGGAGGGGATGTCTTGGATGACACGCCTCTTTAACATTGCGTGGAAGTCGGGGACAGTGCCCAAGGGTGGCAGAACGGGGTGGTGGTTCCCCTGTTTAAAAAGGGGACCAGAGAGTGTGCGCCAATTATATAGGTATCACACTCCTCAGCCTCCCTGGTAAAGTCTACTCCAAGGTACTGGAAACCGGAGGGTTCGGCCCGATAATCGAACCTCGGATTGAGGAGGAACAATGCGGATTCCGTCCTGGTCGTGGAACAACGGACCAGCTCTTTACTCTTGCAAGGATCTTGGAGGGGCCTGGGAGTATGCCCATCCAGTCTACATGTGTTTTGTGGATCTGGAGAAGGCGTATGACTGTGTCCCCAGGGGTCTACTGTGGGAGGTGCTGAGGGGTATGGGGTGAAGGGTTCCCTTCTTAGGGCTATCCAATCACTGTACATCCAAAGCGAGAGTTTTGTCCGTTGTCCCAAAAAGTCAGACTTGTTCCAGGTGGGGGTTGGTCTCCGCCAGGGCTGTGCTTTGTCACCAATCCTGTTTGTGATATTCATGGACAGGATATCGAGCGTGCGGTGTGGGGTGGGGAGAGGTGCCGGTTTGGTGACCTCAGGATTTCATCACTGCTTTTGCGGATGATGTAGTCCTGATGACATCATCGGTCCGTGACCTCCAGCACTTGCTGGATTGGTTTGCAGCTGAGTATGAAGCGGCTGGGATGAGGATTAGCACCTCCAAATCTGAGGCCATGGTTCTCAGCAGGAAACCGATGGAGTGCCTACTCCGGGAAGGGAATGAGAACATAACCCAAGTGAAGGAGTTCAAGTACCTCGGGGTCTTGTTCACGAGTGAGGGGACATTGGAGCGGGGAGATTGGCCGGAGAATCGGAGCAGCGGGGCGGTGTTGCAATCGCTTAATCGCACCATTGTGACGAAAAGAGAGGTTGAGTCGAAGGCGAAAGCTCTCTCGATCTACCGGGCAATTTTCGTTCCTACACTCACCTATGGTCATGAAGGTTGGGTAGTGACCGAAAGAACAAGATCGCGGGTCAAGCGGCCGAAATGGGTTTTCTCAGGAGGGTGGCTGGCCTCTCGTTAGAGACAGGGTGAGAAGCTCGGCTATCCGAGGAGGAACTCAGAGTAGCCGCTGCTCCTTGCGTTGAAAGGAGCCAGTTGAGGTGGTTCGGGCACCTGGTAAGGATGCCCCGGGGGTCTCCCTGAGGGAGGTGTTCCAGGCACGTCCAGCTGGGAGGAGACCTCAGGGAAGACCCAGGACTAGGTGGAGGGGTTATTTTTCCACCCCGGGGGGGGGGCGGCTGCGGTCCCCCAGTCAGAGCGGTAAATGTGGCTCAGGAAAGGGAAGTTTGGGGTCTCTTGCTGGAGCTGCTACCCCCGCGACCCGATTACGGATAAGCGGTTGAAGATGGATGGATGGATGGCAAGACGTGAAAATCCTACAAAACTTGCAATTCTTTGGTTCCTGGGATGATCAGTTCTGTGTGATTCTTGATTATTTATTTTATGTTGGTGCCTGTAACTTTCCTGACATATAAAGAGGATAAACACCTTAGCTGGTTATGTTTGAAAGGCTGGAGTTGAGTGTGGGTGTGTTTGTGTCTTTCTTGTCTGTCACCAGAATAAAACAAACTTATTCTCTTTAAGATAAGTGGACTATAACTGGACAAACTGCTTTCACCTGATCCTAGAATCTTTTCTAAGTGTATTATGAAACATTATTTAAGGGTCACTTTGATGCCAAAGATCTCCATTTTGGTCTCATCTGACCACCAGAGGAAAACTGAGTGAAAGTGTTCTGGTCAGATGAGACCAAAATGGAGATCTTTGGCATCAACTCAACGCGCCGTGTTTGGAGGAGGAGGAATGCTGCCTATGACCCCAAGAACACCATCCCCACTGTCAAACATGGAGGTGGAAACATTAAGCTTTCTGGGTGTTTTCTGCTAAGGGGACAGGACAAATTCACCGCATCAAAGAAACAATGGACGGGGCCACGTACCGTCAAATCTTGGGAGAGAACCTCCTTCCCTCAGCCAGGGCATTGAAAATTAAAAGTAATTACTAAGTCATTACCAAGTACTAAGTCATGTTTTGCAGAGGGGTCAAATACATATTTCCCTCATTAAAATGCAAATCAATTTATAACATTTTTGACATGTGTTTTTCTGGATTTTCTTGTTGTTATTTTGTCTCTGACTGTTCAAATAAAAATACCATTAAGATTATAGACTGATCATTTCTTTGTTAGTGGGCAAACGTACAAAATCAGCAGGGGATCAAATACTTTTTTCCCCTCACTGTATGTATATATGTGTGTGTGTGTGTGTGTGTGAGTGTGTGTGTGTGTTTGTGTGTGTGTGTGTCTGTGTGTGTGTGTCTGTGTGTGTATGAAATACGCAGCTCTGTGATCCAGCATTATCTTGTTACCTGTTGTTGTGCTGGTCGTGAGTGGGTGTGAGGTTGTGATCATGGTGGAGGAAGTGTGTGGGGAGTCAGAGGTGGTTGTGTTTATGTTTTCTGCAAATTATCAACAATGTCAGTAGGTTGTGAATTGCAGCAAATATGCTAATAGTACAATTTCCATGATACACAATAACAGGATTAGTTAGTATGATGCTCTCAAACAAAGATACATATGATTCAGTGTTTAAAAAAAATGTATCAGTTTTTTAATCAGTTTTTAGTCTTTCATCCAAATTGGGATATTTTATTAAATATAAATATTTCTGACTGGTTGGACCTGTTGGGACATACTGTATTCAGGGCAGACTGTAATGTCTGTGTTGAGGAAAAGAATCTAGTAAAAACTATCAAAACCTTCAGTAAATGTATTCTTCACAAAAGTGATTATTACCGGCTGTAGTCATGGTTACGGTTGTATTTGGGTGTTGATGCTTGGTGGTGTTTGGGAGCAAGGTTGGTGTGTTATTGTCTGTTACTAGAACAAGTATAATACATGAGTATATCAACATGTATGTAATACAGCATGTAGCAAACGTATCTCTGTATCTATAGTCGAGTCATAACCACTGATCACATAACTTCATTTACCTCATTAAGCAAAATAAGAAGATTTTACCTGTTGTAT